TCGAGCTCACCCTCGTACGTCGCTCCCCCCACAATGAAGATGATGACTTCTTGTGGTCTGCAATCACAAACGAGCATGTTCGATTCAGCGGTCTTGCACCAAAAAAAAATAATTTTCTCCCACACCCACAATACTCCTCACCTAATGCTCTGCTGACCGATGGGAGGCGCATTGCCCACGTACGGGTAGCTCTGTTCTCTCAACCTGCCCCTGACAAGGTTCTCCACCGTCTCGGCAAGGTGCGGCGAATGTCTCGTATAGACGTTTTCCACTCCCTGCCATCATCGCAGAACCTGCAATCAGCGTAAATCCAAGAAACAATGCCAAGTGGGCCAAGGGCGGCAACGTTTTGGATCTCAACACGCACCTTTAAGCCCTTCAGAGCGCTCTTGCCTCTTGAGAAAAAGTTCTCGTTGGAAAAGAGATCGTCTTGTCTTTGCTCTGCTCCTGCAATGTTCAGCATGGCATAGACAAGCTACATCGTCAAGCGTGCGGGCAGTCGTTCGTACCAATCACGAACAAGTCGGGCCAAAGGAGAGCACATCGCAATCAGCTTGCTTTCTCCAGGCTAATCGCCCCATGCCGCTGATGTCAGACTCTGGTCACTCTGAAAACTCACGGCCGCTTTGCTTTCCTCCACGCCAGCGCTCAACAACATTCGAACCATCTCATCGATCCTGTTGGACGCGTACCTCTGATATCTGAGCGCGTACAGGATTGCCAATCTCAATTTAGCGCTAGGATGCACTTGAGGCGAAGCCAGGAGCGTGTTGAGGTTCTGAGTTGTCAGAACGTTGAGTGCATCATCAGCATGTCAGAAGGACTTTGGCTCGCAGAAGAAGTGTAAACACTGCTTGTGGGCGCACTGACCCTCGACTCACCTTGAGATCTGCGGCGTGGCTCTCATTGCTAGCCAAGCTTTGTTCCAGCTCGCTGACCTCCAGCAAATTCTCCTTTTCGACCCTCTTCGAAAGTTCTCCGAGCAGGGCGACATGCTTGGACACGTTGCCCCCCAGCTTTCTAAACTCTGGGTACTCCTCCACAAACCTCTTCATGTCCGACACCGTCTCGATCTTGGAGCTGTTCGGCGTTTTGGATTGATAGTCCAAGACGTACTTTTTGATGGATGCGCCTAGATCGCCGAAATTGTCGTACATGTTGGAAGAGAAGAATGGGTCTTGGGATGGTGTGAGGACAATCTCCTGCGGTGCGACGAGAGACCCCAAATCAGCCGAAGAGGGCACAGGCGCTGTGTGAGCGTAGATTACGATGCTCGTCTGCTCACTTGGTTCTCTTCTCTCTTCGCACCCTTGACAGCGCCCGGGTTTGCAGCGCTCCCTCCAGATAGGTCCACCCTGCCGTTGGTGATGCCCAGCAGCTCATGCACCATGGCCTGATAAGTCCACTGCGTCAACAAGGGAGTTACTGGATCGTTTCTCCGATCCAATATGAGCAACAAAGGTGCGCTTTCTGTTCGTCTAAATTCGAACAGCGTGGGCAAGGCAGTGTTCATTTGGAACTGTATGGAAAGGGGACAGACGAGCTAGAGTGAGCCAAATCAAAGCGATACTTTTCACTGCTCCCATGCGATCACAGCGCTTCAGAGCGTAGCTCCAAGCCGACAACTCGGACCAATCTCGCCCGCCGTTTGCATCCGCAAGCATAGCAGCCACGGATGCCCCACCTCCCCACACCCATCTGTCTGCTCCGCCCTGCCATCCGTTCGACTGCCTCCATTTTCGCATTTCGTCCTGCCCGCATCTCAAATCGCGTGTGGCCTTCCTTGTTTGAAGTAGCATCCCATCTGCTGATTTCCCTCCTGCTAGGACTCACGTGAAGCTCTTCTCCCAGCGTCTTGGCCAGCGCGCTCATCCTCTCGTATCTAATGACCGGCTTCTTCTTCAAGCTCAAAAGGAGCGCCGCGATGCCATTGCAGTGCGAATGCAAGGCATGCGCGTCCCACTTGCTAAGAGAGCTGGTGGAATCAGCTTGGAAGAGACGCGAGGGTGGACAACTGAGACCGAGGGAGAAGAGCGAAGGTGTGAGGGCGTGGTAGTCCGCAAAAAATTCCTGAGAGACGGTCGAAGGCAAAGGGTGCGTTCATTAGCAATCAAGTTGGATCGCACGTGCTTTCGCACGCCAATGCGGCACGACCGCTCAGCACACTTTGCTCACTTGCACCTCCTGCACCACATGATACGAGTCAGCATCCGCCAAAGCCTGCAGCACGTTTTTGCTGAGCGGACTGGTAAAGGCCAAAAAGTAGCTTTGATACTTGGGCATTCTGAGTTCCTGGATCAAGTGTGCCACACTATCTTCGTCTGGTCGAATCAGGGCGATGCATTTCAAATGTTTCATCCTATCCCTCGACTTGTTCTCCAATCTGTCTGTCAGATAGACTTCGTGCGAGAGGAGAGTAGAGTGCGTCGAAATGAGAGAGACGATGGGCGTGGTGCTCTTGTCCAGCAGCAACACCTTCATCCCGCCCACGCTCGTCAGCAGGCGCGTCAGGTAGCCAGTGATGGCTCGAATCACGTCCATCTCGACTTGAGTCTTTTGATGTTCAGCTTTAGCAACTCCTGATCGTCCCTGTAGCGGGGGGCCGCCAAGGCGTTCTACGGCTTTGGAAATCCGCTGATCCGATTTGGCCTCTCTGCACTGCCGTGTGCAGCGTCGTACGGGTCAAGGCAACAAAGGGCTGGTCTTTGTGCAGCTGTGACTTGAGACGATTTCAAGCTTTGCGATGACGAGGGCGATACGATGTTTGAAGCGGCCGCCGCCAGCAAGTGGCAGCTCGTAGCGAGTCTGCGGTGCGTAACGGGTGATCCGCGGCGCCGTGTGCTGAGCCGTGAGCTGGGCAACCTAGGATGAGCGTCTGGAGCGCCACGCGTTCTGCTGGTAGCAAAAGCCTGATGAGGCGCTAGGCCCAGCTGTCGATTGGTCACTAAAGAGTCACAAGTCCGCGGTCAAAGTGAGGCTTTGTGGTGATGATGGTCGAGGTGATGATACAACCGGCAGCAGCCATGCACACTCACAATCGAATCGATCGATCAATTGCTGGTCGGAGCTGCGCAGCCACTCGCAACGCACGGACGTGCCAAGTCCTCCGCCTGCCTGCTCGTGCTTCCTCCGCGGATTTGCGGTGGTGCTGTGTGGTGTGTGTGTGCTTGCATGGATCCTGCTGCATGGCACTTGTGTGTGGACTCTTGCTGCTTGGTCATCAAGGTGGCTGCCATGCAGTGCACCCACAACAAACGTGAGGGCCCAAAAGACATCTGACCGATGATGCTGCTGGCGCAATGGTATCATTGAGATGTACGCGTGGGGCCATGACAATGCTGGTCTTGTCAGATGACGGTACAGATGGTTGCGATGTGCCAATCAAAGAAGCTGGCAACCACTTGACTAATGGCACGAGGTGCAATGACAAGACAGATATGAGTACAGACAGATGCTGACCATTGGGATGAAGGCAGACGATTGTGGGCAAGACAGGTAGACGCTGATCAATGGGATCAAGGCAGACCATGAGCTTAGAGCTCCTCATTGTCCCAGCCGTACACAAGGGTGTTGTCAAGTACAACCCACTGCTTGAGGAACTCCTGAGTCATCTCCTGTACTTGCAGAGGACAGTGTATTGAGCCGCAGAAGAGGTAGACAGAGGCATCCTGGGGCTCTTTGACTCGAGCAAAGTCAAGACTCAGCTAAATGTCCAACACCAGAGGATCAAGGTCCTCAGCTAGATCAATGCCTTCTACCAAAAGCCCCAGGAACTACTGGCAGGCATGGGCACAAACCGCAATGCGCTAAATGACGGCGCGGTACTTGGGTCTCTATAGGATCGACAAGAGGGTGTCAGCGTCAGTCATACTGATTGAACGCAACACACCTGGCAGATGCAATCAGTACTGACCAAGGTGTTACTGGCAGTGCCTCCAACTGTAACAGTGTAGGGGCCTAGCGCGGTGATCATGGTCCTGATGCTCAAGAGCTCCTTGCAGCCATTGGGCATTGGGATGATCCGCCAACAGCCTGTCAGTGTTCTTCTGGAGGAGCTCAAAAGGAAGCTTCAAGAACTGCGCGCCAAGGAGAATCTGGAGCAGGCAATCTGTTATCAGGTGCAAGACTCTTTGTTGGTTGCTTGCATCCAGGCTTGTTTCAAAGGACCACTGGCAGCTGCACTCACCAGGATCACCACTGCGCCAACATCTTTGGCAAGTGCACCCAAGAAAGCAGCAGTGAGTGATGTGTCAAGCACAGCACAGCGCTCCCATTGACTCTCCTTCACCTCGAGAAAGAGGAGTCTCAATCTCCAGCAAACAAGGCAAGGTAAAGAGGGCAGAGTTTGAGTTGTGGTGCAAGCGCAAGCCTGACAGAGACATCAACTGGTTGAAGATCAGCAATGGCCTCCAGCGATTGAATTACAGGCGCAAGGAAAGGAAGCGCAAGAGGGAGGAGGAAGCGCCGACGCAACATACAAAGGCAATGAGACCAACAACCCGCACAAACCCAACAATCTTCACGACTCTCACAACACTGATGAGTTTGGTCATGGGAGTAATGAGGTGGTGGCGGCGCAGGCAAGGGCAAGGGCAAGGCTGCATCACAGCCGACGCCCAAGGACAAGTCTTCCAAGACAAAAGCTTTCAAAGAAAGCCTCAAGGCGCTGGGACCCAATGTGAGCGAGCCCATGCAAGCGGTCCATGCCACATACTGCGGCCCATCTCTCCAGCACTTGGCGTCCATGGCACACCATTGGCTGGCAAATGAGGACAGGGCCCTTGGGCTCCAGCTCCAAGCAATGAGTTTGGAGTGCAACTTGCAGCCACCCAGCCAAGATGTCCAAGAAAGGGGGATGGATTTGATCTGGCTGACAAGAGAGAGGACTATCAGCTGTATGAACGTTACGGCGACTTGTCAGCTGGAGGGGATAGCCGCAATGATGTTTGCTCATGAAGATACGCCGATGGAGCGAGAATACCGTCGTCGCGCTGCCACGCGCATCTTGCGCAAAGTCGATGCTTGCAGAGCTGATTTCACAAGCACATCTTGGCAACAGCTTGTGGACCTCTGCCAGCTTGGACGTGATGATGACAACACAAGTTGCAGGAACCATGCGCTTCCTGTGCATATGGACAGCTTTGTCACCACGCAAGCAGGATGGAGCACCAACGTCTATTGCACAGCATGGGGTGCAACCCAAACTCCAACAGGACCTCATGCACTCTTGCCTGCATAAAGCAACTTCATGGGACACCATGCATGAAAGAGCAACTGCTCTTGATTTGCAGTCTTCAGCTGTGCATGCATGTCCCAGGCTTGCAGCTCTTTGGCCGAGAAAGTTGTGGAGCTTGCGTGCAGGGCAGGTTGGGAAGATGGGGTTGCCAAGCTTGCAATTTGCCACTCTCCAAGTATTCTTACAGCGCTTGGGCTTGTGTTGACAGCTTCATCTTCATGATTAGCAAGTCTCTTTGAACACACTTGATACAGCTAGGAACACAGAACAAGCTTCAGTCATAGTCTAGGAATAATGGAGAGCAGCGATCTGACCCAGAGGTGCTCTAGCCCTCCAATCCGATGGTCAGACAATGACAGCCTTGACGTGGCCAGCAAGTGGCTTGCCATCCTCAGACTGTTCATCACTGAAGCGCATCAGCAAATGCGTCCCCTTGGCCTCACCGCTATGGAGCTATTTGACACCAACCCTCCCCAGGCTAGGCTGCTAGCAGGCCAAATCTGGCACAGGTTTGTGACTTTGTTACTTTCAAGGCTGATGAGTACAGTCACAAGTCTAGCTGGGTTTGTCAAAGCTTTGACGGTCCTGCTGTTCAGAGGTTACAAAGAAAGCTGATGAACCCACCCATCCCCAAACGCAATGTTCCTACAGCCTCATCCAACCCCATGCACTGCTGTTGCTAGCAGCCAGGCAGAAGTTCACCTCCTCAACATTGTGGAAGCTACCCCTTTGCCACCAGTGTCCTCTTCCTGCGCTGCCCTTTTACCTCTGGCGCCTTGTGCTGCCCGCCCTTGGAGTCCTCCATCCAGCTGGTCTGCTCAGCCTCACCAGCCCTCAGACTTGGTGGGCCTTTAAATTACAATGCCCAATCCAGTCACTCTTGGCACGTCAGCACTTGCTTTTGCAGGACACTGCGCGCCAACAAGCACCCTGCTCCTTGTGAAACTCCAATTCCTGGAGCACACACGCTTAGAGGCGCCAAATCTTGCGTGACACTGTCCTTGAGTGCTCTGGCTGAGCTCGGTAAGCTAATGTGATGTCAAGCTTGAGTGAGAAAGCTTAGCACCGAGCTTGCAAGACCCGCAGGCCACGCAAATTTGTTTTGCCACTCACTTGATACTCACTCAACCTGCAAGCTTCTTGAGATGAAGACTGGTACTACAGTACTGTTCCAATGACTTTTCTTGTTGTGTCTCCATCTCATAACAGTCGAGTAAATCAGGAATGAGGAACATTTCTCATGGACAAGTTCAGGGTATTCCTCAATACTGGTGGCATTCTGTTGTTGTGTGAGACTCTCTTTGTCATTTGGAGATCATCAAAGTGTTTGACCTACGCAGCTCAGCCCAAATACCTCTTCTTGTGTGATTTGGATGCAGAGGACCTTTGTGGTATGTGTGATGTGCTTGATGGGGAGAGGTCACTGTTGGCTGTTGGATGCACGCACCGCGCGTGCGCCCATATCACGCATGTACAGCTGCGCGCAACAAGCTTTAGAGGCACCATCATGAATGAGTGCTTCCTTCCGTCACCATTGACGTCTGATCTTAGTGTACAACAACGCCTAGCAGTCTGAGTTGCAAAAGGCTTTGCTCTCACAAGTGGGGGCGAGGCAAGTATGTGAGCCACAAGTCACAAGCGTAGCATCACAAACGAGGTGGCGTTGCGGCGGGTGCAGGAGCGAGCAAGTTGTGACGCGTGACTGCGCTGCACTTGATCTTTGCTTGAGGATATTCATCCTTTGGAGATTTGTGCTCAGCCAAGGAGCCTTGATTGTCATGCACACCATTGCTCAACAGACTTCAATTTCTCTTCTCAAGATGCTTGGGAAGCTGGCACCCTTGAAATGCGTAGGCTCTTGTGGCCACGTAAGCAGAGTGCACGGTGAGAAACTCTTGCTCAGCCGTTCAGACTTTCATCTTCAGAATCCCAAGGGTGGGATTGGTGTCCTTAGAGAGGGACAACAGATCTCAGCGCCAATCTGGTGTTCTGCAATCATGCGCAATGCTTGTGACTCACCTGAGGGGACTGATTGGGTACGGGCTCGAGGAGTGGGCAGGAGGGGGCGCACGCTGCTTCCTTGTAATAGACACTCTCTTTGTCTTGATACCTTTGTAGAGTCCTTTTGCGGCAGTAGTCGTTTGCACAAGCCCACATTTGTTGGTAACACGTCTTGCCGTGACAAGGCATGATGTTATTGGTGTCAAAATTGCTCTTCGGAAGCTTAGGAGAAGCCTATCTAGGTGAGTAGCTGTTGCGCACGCAAGTGACAAGGAGATGCGCGTAACCATCTCAGAAATTGAGCGGCAAATTGCAAAGGTGATAACAAAACGGCAACTCACAAGCAGAGGCTCTGGCCAGGACCTTCTCGCAGTCAGCCACAAGCTTCTTGGCGCACAACATCATCTTGACGGTCATCATCTGCTTGCATTTGTACTCTTGCGTGGCTTTGTTGGTACTACCAAGCAGCCCTCTGAATGGAGCTCTGGCTTTCCAAATTTGATTGACTTTGCTGAGCTCTTTGTAAGCCTTGTCCATCAACTTTTGTGAGCGGCAAGCTCTTTATCCACCAGCTTTGGAGGAGTGACAGGAGCAGCAGTTGGGAGAGGGCGGGGCTGAAGCACCGGCAATTTGAACAAGGGGCGCTTAGCTTTTGGTTTAGCCTTGGGCTTGGGGTTGGAGAGTCAAGAAGACAGAGAGGATCTCAGCGCTGATCATTTGCAAGCTTGATTGTGTGTGCCCGTCTAAATATGTCCGCTGCCACTTGGGACTCACCTTTGAGGTCTTGTTGGAACAAACCTTTGGGCAGGAGAGAGCGCGCGCCGCCTCCTTGCAATTGGCCCTGTCTTGCGCCTGGGCATGTTTGACCGACTGGTCATGGTGGAACATGGCTTCTGTTTTGCAACTGGGGGTGCTCTGCATGTTCCTGTGCAGCCTTGTTTCCTGCTTAAAGTGCACTGCATTTTAAGAAAGCCTGTCATCTCTCTTTTCAAGACGTGGGAAGGCAGCATCCTTGCAGGCCTGGAGATTGCTCTGGAGTTTTTCATCCCATTTTACCAGTGCAGCTTTGTTGAAGTCTTTGTGTGGATCAGATGCTCCAATGTACTGTTGAAGAGCTCTGCAGTGCTACGACAGATGCATACAATGCCATGACAGGATCGCCCATCTTACATTTGTTGCTTTGGATCATGCCTGAGTGTGCCATCCTATCTTGAGACACAAGTCTAATCAGGTATGCACTGGAGCAGGCCTCTGCTGCCTAGGTAAAGATCAAAGGACTGGCCCCAAGATGAGAAAAAGGATCAACTTTGCGCAGGACGCCCCAACCTTGCAGAGGGCATCCTCAACAGATTTGTCTACTGGTTTTGTCGATTCTTGATTTGATTCAAACGATGATCAAGGCTGTGCAGGGCGCGCTGGCGCGCGCGCAACACCTTGGTCAGTACTGATTGCATCTGCGGATCATGCTTTCCGACCCAATGGGATTCCAGCAAATCTGGAGAGGATGGGCGTCTTGCGTTCAGATGATCTCAACTGGCTGGCTTAGATTCATAAGCACGCCAACAAGATCTCTACAATTTTTTCCATTGCCAACTACAAGAACATGCTGGAAGCTGCAATGGCAGACAACCATCCTTTGTCTCTGCTGCTGCAGCAAACAAAGGTCATAGAGCATCATTGGCATTGCTCTGGGGAAGCACATCTCCCATCCACCGTGCGGTAATGGTGTAATCTGTCATGGTATCAGTGATGCTGACCAGCAAAGTGAATGCCATTGTTTAGAGCAACTGACATCTGTTCTGTCTGACTTCAGTGCTGACTTTTTCAAGTCTCTTCACCATAGCAATGACCAATAGCTGACTGCAGGGAGATGTCCATCATCCTCAACTTGCTCCACTCTTACTGGTCAAGCCATGCGCACAGCACCAGCTCACCAATTTGATGCAGACTTTTCAGAGTCTTGTTCTACGCATTAGCCCCTTACCCCTCTAATCAACTGACAACTTATTGACCCACCACGCTTGCCTGGCTTACAGTTGCTCTGAGCCTGCATGGCAATCGTGCACCCAGCCTCTCGCAAAGCTCACATCACAGCAGCATCTATTTGCTCAGCTGCAGTCCGCACAAGCATGCATCCTGCACTCGCTCACCTTTGGATGATGGAGCATGCACGATGCTTCGGGGGCGTGACGCTGAAGTTCGTCCATTTTCGAGTCATGACCATCCCCCTGCTCCCGAAGCACGAAAGGTCAAAGCCAATCGGCAAAGGCCCAACACTGAAAAGAAAGCTGGTATCAGATCATTGTCCGATCCAATCCATTCACGAGCAAAGGGTGAGCCCCCACCGTTCATGCGCGCGCTTGCTCCTCAATCGTGTTCCCCAGTTCGTGATCACGAAGCGTTGCACGACTTGCACAAGAACTGCTGTTCAGGGACTAGGTAGCTCTTGCGTTACGGATACAAGTACAGGGTGTGGGCGCCTTCATGCGGAGATGAGCAGCTCGAAACGCCGCGAGTTTCATAGGAAGAAGAAAGAGAGAGAGGAGACGTGAACGTGTACGTGGAGGAAGTGCGAGAAAACTTCGAGGCTGGTGCGTCGGATCGTGATGCGCGCTCAAGCAGAGCGCGGAGAGAATCTTGGCGATTCAGACGCATCTGGCTTGCTCGTGGTAGAGGTACGTACCGAAAAGCTCGCTCTTCGCGCCACCGAGATCGGACACTCGATGGTTGCCGAAAAAAGCCAAGCTTTCCATCTGCTTTCCCGCCCCGCGGGCCGTCATACGCCAGATGCGAGCCCCCGCGCTTATTTGCGGGCAGGCAGGCGCAAATGTATCGGGGGGAAAAAGAGCTCGTGTCCGCTTTCCGCAAGAGTCTCGAGTCTTGTGCTCGTGGCGATCGTTGCTCGGCGCTGCCTTCGCACTCAAGCAAGCACCGGTACCCTCTCTTCCCGCTCTTCCGCCTCCGCCTCTGCCCCAGCATGCTGCCCCTCCCCTCCAGAGTGTACAGGCTCCACACTGGGCACATTTGGAAATTCGACATGCTCCCGTGCCTCCTTGATAGCATTGGACGAGCTTGGAAGATCCTCTGCTCTAGCTTCAGCTTCTAGTGCTTCCATCTCCCTCGCCACAGCCTCTTCCTCCTCTGCCGTCATGCGGCTCGTCAACATTTCGTCAATCTCCTGAAATCGCATCAAAGAAAAAAAAGCCAGACAAGGCCCCGCCCCCAATTGCACCCCATCGAATCAGCGCGCGGAAACAAGTCGGAATGACGTTGATCGTCGAGCGCCGACGCACCTTTTGATATGCGACAGCCTCTTGCGTCTCTCCCATCAACTTTTCCACCGAATCGATGTTGAGCTCTTTATGAATTTCCTTGAGCACCGCATTGCCTTGTTGCAAGCCATGCATGACCGACGCTTGTATTTGCGAAAATTCAATCGACGATACCTACGAGTGGGGGGGGGGG